TGACAAAAATATAGCCGGTCAACATACCCACCATACGTTTAATGAAACACAGCTTATCGATTAGAAAATTATGGAATAACAATTAAACTAATCCATATATTATAATCTATTTCTCAGGAGATGAATTCAAGAAAACAAAAGCAACCTTAAATGCACATAATCTCTACCTGGTTCTATTCTACTTTTTTTTGTAAATTTTAAAATCTGTAAGGTAATCAATATGTATTATATTCTCCACAGTATATACCTACACTATAAATTATAATACATATATATATTATATTATATACGTTTTCTGCTGGGGACAACGTGATAATAAATATTTATAATATTCATCACACTGCAGCATGGATTTGTGTATAAATCTGAATAAAATATTCCACGAAAAAAAAAAAATAAAACAATGTTTTAATTAAAACTATAGTTGGTACCAGCCTTTAGGGGTTTTAATCTCTATCACTGTGCCGGGAAACGGCATAGCCGAAGGTTTGTTTTTTTAGTTTAAAGTTTTACAAATTCCAGAAATTAAGTTTAATTTGTTTAAATAAATAAGCCCCCCAATCAGCTTTTACGAGAAAAGAGAACTGGTCGAAGAGATAATTGTATTACAAAAGAAAACTCTTCGTTTTTATTCCGTTAAAATTATAATAAAATTTCCAGATACACAACCAACCCTCCGTCTAGGATTCGACGGAGAGGATATTATACTACAGGCATGGGATAGGTATAAATTAAATTTATTGATCTTTGCGTATTATAATAATATTATACTATTATAATTTATAATAAAAATAAAAAAATGGAATGCATGGAATTCGTCTTGGTTCAAATAACATTATAATGTTCCGTACAGCCATCATATACATAATAATATATAGGTACCTACATATAATTTAATAACTTGTGTTCCACACTTAATGAAAATGAGATTTTAGAAATTGAAAAAAATTATAAATTATTGGGTATTAACGTTTAAAATTGACCAGCTGAGTCCAATATACGTTGGTTGTAATCTACGTTCTAACAATTATTTTTTTCATCAGGACTTAAGAGACCAGCTTCGTGATTTATTCTTTATAGTAAGTATTATATTTTACAATTACGATTATTATTTTTTATGCCTGTATAATGTAAAACAATAAAAAAAGAATTCAATTTGGATCTGAAACGTTAGCATGTAAAAATAACTATATTTTTTACTTATATAAGTATTAAGTATCTACTGGGACAACTTATTTTGTATCTACCATAAAAATATATAAGCATCATAAGTGCCTATATATACAATATTTATTTATTAGGTAATATTATACCTACATTAGTTTTCGGCAAAATATATGAAAATTAATGTCGGCAGATAACAATATGAAAATAAATGTAAACGCCATTTGTATTTTGTTGGCAGCATAATTTGTCAAATATACATACCTTTAGGTCATAACAGCCTAGTAATAAATGTTCTGTTTCCCACGAACATAAATATAAAACAATAGGCTATGTATTATTATTATTGGATTGGCCTACATTGTGGTATTGCAAAATACTTAACATAATAACAATGATAAAAAAAAATACTTGGGCTACCGGAGATTTATAAAATAAATTATTTATGAATTTTGCTGATGGTTGTGTTTATAATAAATTTAGGCGTTATTTGCAATCCGAACGGAAGTTTACTTATTCTTAGGCATTAATTATTTACGAAAAACACAAAACCGATTCGTTTAGGTCAGTACAAAACAGCTCGATATACAGACGTCTGTCGTATTCCGTTTACAACATAAGGCACATATTATTTACTTCCTCTTTCTCTCTCTCTCTCTCTCTCTCTCACCCCCTCAAACTCCCTCTCACACACGCATACTCACACTTCTCTCTTGTTTTTCTTTCATCATAAAAATAAATGAAACGACTCAACTCGGTGATTGATTTTCATGAAGAATGGATCGTTATCAAAAGATGCATTACCTACATAATATTATTATATTATTAAGTATTGAAAACAAATAATTGAGGTTAACATTAAAACGATTATCAAATAATCGTCACCACCGGTATTCAAATGGAAAATCCGATAATTACATAGGTCTAGGCTTATAACATTTTTGTTTATAGTTTTTTATCTCGGAAAAGATGTTACAGAGGCTCAAAAATTACATATTCATAACCGGCTATGAATATTCATTCTTTCGTAAAGTTCGGGTAATGTCGACTTTCGCCAAATGATAATAAAAATTATAATAAAAGTGGAGTAATTCTTTGTATAGTGATTGCACGCATTAAATATAATATATGTATAATATGATGACAATAATAAAAATATAAGCGTTTTTGTCGTCCTCGAAGTGATTTCTGGAAAATATAGCTTCTGTTCCTAAACTATGTTCTCACCTCTTTCCACAGCAGTTTCACCCCTTTTATTTTGTTTGTTATAGGTTATAACAAATCTAATATACCAGATCAGAGTATGGAATTTGAGAATAAAAAAATTGTTGATTAAGTAGCAAAAAAAAATATATTTTTTGGTCCATCCAAAAATTATAAACCTAATTATAATATGTATAGAATCCACTATATTATAGATGTATTATATATCCATACACACTTTATAGACGATTAAAGTCAAGTATGTACATTCATTCAGAGTTAAATACATTTCATGATAAAAAAAAAAACGTGGAATCAAAAACACGAAGTTTACAACCGCAACTTGTAGGTCAGGGGTAAACATGTCGGGAAAGGGGATGCTTTTTACCAAACTTCTAAGGATCCTTATAGCTTTTTCTACGCAATTCGTTTTATCTCGCCTTGTAGAGGTGTTTTTACAGCCGGCAGCTTTTTTAAATTCATTCATTTCAATTTGACGCTTAAAACCTCGCTTAAAACTAAAATCACAATTATTTTATACAACAATAAAAAAATAAATAGTTTACAAGGCTGCATTTTATTTATTATTTTATTTTAACAAATATGTCAGGCAAAATGTTGTTTAATATAATATACATAAATATAATTTAACAACAAGTCATTAAGATTTAAAATTCACTCGGAAAGAGGATTTTTACCTTTAGCACATTATCTCTCAGGTCGGTTTAAATTACCATTCAGTGAGCATACCTATATAGCTACTAAATAATTCAACGTAACACACCACACACGACAAGTGTATTGTTCAACGAAAAGTTTAAACGCTTCATGAACACATTCCCGAACCACTTAGAGCAAAAAGAATAGCAACGATTTTTTGAAAAACTGACTTTTATTATATGCTAATCTTTAATTGTTTCAGTATATTATACAGTGTATGTATAGTACCTATATACATCATTTTTTTCTCTGTACGAATACAGGCTACAACATATTCCTAAATCAAGTACTTAATTATAGAAGAGATTAAATAAAATTATGTATTTTTCTGAATTATTATAAAACTTTCTAGAAAGTACTTACAGATATTTGGTAATGTTAAAATAAATATTTTGAAATCTACTATATGAACCCTCAACAAGTTACTCAGCAAGAAAAAAAACGCAACTCTTGAGAATAATAGAATACATAAAAAACAGAACATTTTGACAATTAGTGTAAACTGCATTTTCTTCTTACCGACTGCATAAAAAACATATTGCATAGATACTTAAGAAATAAAAATAGAAATTTTTTAAATCGGCTGAGAGTGCTTGAGCCCGAAGATTGTTAATGGACATTTATAACGACAAAGACTTATATAATACTGGATGTATACAATACAGTTATATAAATGATGAAAATTGTATTTGTATTATTGCAAGGTTAGGAAACAAATGTATCGAAAACGACAACAGAAAACCACCAATGCAATACATATTATGATAATGAGCAATTTGCATAATATCTATGATATATAAATAATATATTATATAGATCCCTATCTATTATATAATATTATGTTCGAGAACCTGGGATACCACTAATAATAACATAATAATTCAATGAATTGTTTATTTTATCGATATAATTTAGAGAATAATTTAATTGTTAAAAAATTAAAATAAATACTTTTGATAAATCATAAATAATTACTGCATTTTATCTCGTACACATGTATACCTAAATCGTCAGACGTTTATATATTAAATTATTATTTTTATTTTATACCTTAATTTTAATAAATATTTTCTATATTATTATTTATAGTGATAGAAGGAAGAAAATGCGGAAGAACACGCGTACGCATACAATTTAAATATAAAAAGAAGGCGGAGAGAAAAATTAACATTGCGGGGTGGAATGGGGGCTCGGGTGAAAGCTTCGAAAAGTTGTGTGAACGAAATTACGGTGTCGGGGGAGGCGTCGGTGGTGGCGAGCGGTGACGTCACTATATACACGGAGGCGCATTCTGCCATTGTTATTGTTATATTAATAATAATAATAAATAGGGTTAACGGGCGGGCGTGCGGGCGGGCGGGTGGTTCAGGCAATAAATTCAACTTGCCTCATTTAACTACGACTAGCGAGTGAGGGGGAGTGTGAGAGGCAGGCAGGCGGCGTGAAAGGGAGGGAAGGAGGAAGAGGAGGGAGAGAGAGAGATAGAGAGAGATGAAAATATATATATAATATACATATTTTATTTATATATATAAACAGTGAGAATGAGGGGAAGAGGAGAGTATGCTCTTCAATCAATAACTCCTTTTAAACGTGTTATTACATATTATACACACACACACACACACACACACATACACACACTCACACTGTGTGGTCCGTTATTTATACCATAAAATATAATATACATTATACGTAATATATATATATATATATATGAAGATATTTATATATATATATACATATATGACTAAAATAGATGTTGTCACGGACGGGAGAGAAATGGGTAAGAAAACCTTCGGAATAAAATATTAATAAATAATAATAAATGGTAAAATATAATGCTAAACGAGACGATTGTATTATTAAGAAGAAGATAATATTAAATATAAATGTAGTTGAAAATAACTCACTCTTTCTTCCTCGCGTATCATCTCGGCGATGCCTGGCTTTATCTCCATATCGTCAGCCACGCTGCTCGGCGGTGGTATCGACGACGATGACGACGACGACGATGAAGCGGACGAGGCGGACGGCGGCATGGCCTGTGGTGCCGGTGGCTGTTGTGACGACTGCTGCTGCTGTTGCTGCTGTTGCTGCTGCTGCTGCTGCTGTTGTTGTTGATGTTGCTGCTGCTGCTGATGTTGCTGCTGCTGCTGATGTTGTTGTTGTTGTTGTTGTTGTTGTTGTTGTTGTTGCTGCTGCTGTTGTTGCTGCTGTTGCTGCTGGTGGTGGTGGTGCTGGTGCACGTGCGACTGCACCTGCTGCTGGTGATGGGGGGCCGGGGGAGGCGGCATGTGGTGTAAGTTGAGCGGCGTGTCCGCGGCTGACGATCCCATGTCGGACATTACCGACTCTGGGCTAGCCGCCGGTGGTGACAGCCTGTGCCGCTTGCGGGCTGGCTGTTTGGGAGATTCGGGTGCTACTGTCGTGGGCGTCACCACGGTGGCCGCGGCCTGTGGTTCACATCCACCGCCGCCGGTGAGTTGTTCGTTGCTGACATCGGCCAGACCGCGGACTTTCAGGGTCTCAGCAACGCGTAATAGTGGGCCAATCTGTTCCTGGTAAACGTTTATCTCTCCCTTGTACATAAAATCGACGACGGCCCTGAGCTCAGGCCACTGGACGTCTTTCAGTATGACGATCGGGTGCTTACACTTGTTCTCGGCCAGCATGCTCTGGAAGTACGGGCTGCAAGCGGACAGCACGATTTTGTGAGCCTTGAGAGTGTGACCGTCACAGGCGATCGTCACATCCACGAACGTGCCGTTCTGCAGCAGTTGGTCGAACACATTGGTCAGGTTACTCTGGTAGTTGTTCCACCGCAAGCAGAACTGCTGGTTGCCGGAACTGCCAGTGGCACCGCAAGTCTTCTCGGCCGCCGCCGACGACACGTCTTTGGAGCCGTTGCTCGGTTGCATGGTGGCGGAGGCGGTGGGATGAAGGTGCTTCAGCAGTGAGTGTACACGATTATTCGGACGGACTGTCGAGAAAAAAATATCGGAGCGAAATTGATAAAAATCACGAGCTTACAGATAACGACGGTTGGGGGTGGTAAACAAAAAATATTTAAATAACAACGTTCGATCACCTTTGAGCACACGTTTTTTATCAACACGAAAACGCAGACAAAAGTGCGCGCGCGTGACGGACGAGAGCACCGGTCGCGGCGGAACTGACTGTAGTCGCGTCGGGTGCCGCGTTTGGCAGGCTGGTAGGCGGGCGGCTGGCTGTTAGGCGGCGGCGGTGGCGTGCGCTGACGAAAACGCCGGCCGCGGCGGGTGCCCATGCCACGGTCGCAGTGTGACCAGAGGCCGCCGAATGAAATTACAGTGACTCTCAATACGCCGTATCGCATAAAAATAAATTAAAAAAACACAGTCCGCGTTTTGCAGCTCCGTTATTAATATTAATATTTATTTTCATTTTTATTTTAGCGTAACACGCCTTGCCTTGCTTATAAAATTACCATCCACCGGGTTGGTTTTACGATAAAATCGTTAATTGTTATACGAATCAAATAATAAGCGCATATAAATAACTCACTATACAGTTGTTGCTATATAGGTACAAGGACAAAAATGTATTACTACATTAATTAAATGTAAAAAATGTTATTTTTCTGTGTAGATATTGTGTATATAACTTTATAAATTAAGGTATACTTTTTATTAAGCACGAGCTTCGTATAAGTACCTACATGTCATATAAATATTTCAAAACAAATAATTTTTTTCAATAGATATCTAACATTTGAAACTTGCGACATAATAAAAGATAATTTTTGTAATGTAGGTATGTATAGGTTCCAGATTTCAAGAATTTGTTCATTAACTTAAAACAACTATATATCTTTTATTTAAATACCACAAATTCAAATACTCACACATATAACATTGCATGCACCAATACATAAAACATTATTTTTATACCTAAATAAATTATCAAAAAAATTGAATTTTAACTGATTTTTCTTAATTAATGACAGAAAGCTATAACAAACAAAAATTTTGTATTTTATAAAAACAAAATATTCCTATTATAGTATTATATAATTGTATTCAATTGTGTGTGTAACGCTTAAATTCATGCATGATTGATTTATTATTTTAAATTTAAACACATTAAAATAAAAATGTTATAAACGTATACCCCAAGTTTTTTTTTTTTTAAATGGGTTCTATTGAAATATTATTAAAGAGTAAAAGAGTTCCAGGAATTTCGACAGAATTGTATTTTAATCGGATTTAGTTTGAGTGAGAATTATAATAATTGTAAAATATAATATTAATTATTAATATATTATACTATAATTCTTAACTTATTCAAATGTAAAATCGCATTCCCTAATTTAAATTACAAATATCTACATAAAATATACATTCGAGGATAATTAACTTTTGAAGAAAATGAATATAAATAATTTAAAGATAAAATATGTCAACATTTCATTAAAATATGTTTTATTGAGTAAGCGAAAATATTTGTTTGGAGCTAATCAACATTTTAATATTGAATAGACATTAGACATCGTATTTTAACTATATTTTTTACAAAAATGGTAAGTTATAAGTATTATGTAGATACTATGTCATGGTGTATATGGGTATTATGCTACACGATATTACTATTAATTTATAATATTCAACTGAAATTAAAGAAAACGTTGAAATATTTTCAAATCTGATAACAATTTTTGAAAAATATTTAAAATATTCTAATTTTTAGGTAATATATACTCAAATACACAATACGTATAATATTACATATTATTATAAATTCAAACTAAACATTTCTTTATTTTAATTACATAAATGCTTATATTTTACCTATATAGTAATATAGTATTAAATAAACAGTACAATTAAAGCAAATTAATACAAGAAATTACAGATATAACTATGTATTTTTAATAACTTAATACATTTATACATAAAAAACAACAGTTTGAAATTTAAAAAATTAATTTTTCTACGATAAGTTTTTTTTATATTGTTATTTAATTTTTTTACATTGTACCTATTACAAAATGTCATTGTTGAGATTAGCAATGGGTGTGCATACTCAGCATGAATAAACTAACCCAAACAAAACAAAAAGTTAAAATTATTAATGATGTTGTCATTTACAAAATTTGTTTAGTTTTATTCTTGTAGATAATAAATTATTTATATATATTTTAAATATAAATATTCCAATTTATAAAATAAATACAATTATGGAAGAGGTAATTAATGTCTCTGGCATTACTTGGAGCTGCTATATGAATAATAATATATACATATACATTATACAGTTTATAAATCAAATATAATATTATATACAATATTGTTTTTATCGTGATTTAATTTAATTTAAAATTGCAATTTTTAATTTTGTTCACAAAATTTGAATATGTATTAGAATTATATATAATAGCTTATTCCTAATAATATAGTTTACCTATACACAAAAACAAATTACATGATTCCTATAATATAGTATATTATTTTTACATAATCTATGTATATATATATGTAATTATAAAATGTAATTGTCTATTCAGTCCGGTATTATTGAAGAAGCAAAAGAGGTTGTTCGAGATATCTGGGGATGGCTATTTTAATAGTTTTTAGTATCAATTTTATTTAAATTTTAAATAACTGTAAAAAAGATTGTTATATTACTAAAAAAAAAAGTGAGTACTGTTGTGGGATACCCGCTGTAGAAACGAAGTTTCTTTTCCGACAAATATTATAGATTACAAATACATTTTAATGGAACCATTCAAAATAAAAGCAAATGTGAAAAATAAATGAAAATGAAAATTATTGTTATTACTATTTAATTACTATTTTATTCTGGGGCGTCATTTCAACTTTTTTTTTGTTGGTGCGAAAATGTTTGAAGGCCATTCAAATGATTACCAGGCCACATAGAAAACTTTTTTTTGGTGGGGGGGGGGGGTCAAGTGGGGACAAAAACTGTAGAATATTTGTTTAATTTATTTAATATGTCATTTATATTAGTATGAAAATATCACAATAATTTTTGACGAACTATGTGTATAGGTACCTACTTTTAATGTATTTATTTTATACTGTGGATACACTGTACAGTGTTATTTACACTTGGTAAATAAATGTATGGGTATAAAACACCTTTATAATAAAATACCTAACCGAACCTAACCTACACATTTAATGGTGGACTGGGAGAAAAAAACAGCCAGGGAAAATCATAATTTTAGAGGCCCTCAGTATACTATAACGGTCGTTTATCGAACTATATATAAATGTGAAATGAAAATCTCTCTACAGGCTAAACTCTGAAACTATACTTATCAGATCTTTTTGATTTTTTTTTAAACAAAAGAGTATATCACGGAGAAGGGTCTTATGAAAGAAAATTTTAGGATTTTAGTACGGTTAGGTTAGGTTAGGATCTTATATTAATTTATTATATTAATCCACGGTAGGTGGAATTAAGTAAAAACGACAAACATGGTACCTATAACTTTGATACTTTAGAGTTAAATCATACACTTACGTACAAACATCAAGGGGTCCGCGATCTAACCCAGGTAGATTGCCTACCTGATAATATACTGCTGCGAATCAGAATTTTTATTCCGGGCAACAGAAAAGTTAAGATAAATTTTGAACATCATACACCAAATATTAAATAACGAATTGAACAAAGTTTGAGTCATATAGAGTTGATATACATTTAACGGGCAACGAAGTGCACGGGATCAATATAAAATAACTATTGTAAATTTGTTTAGTTAGAGTATACCTCAAGTAATTGTTATGTATATAATTTAAACTCAATCAGTTTGATTTTAATGGGGCTGGAGCGTGATTCATTTTCGGTCGAAAGCATAGCTCACGACTTCAATCACTTCTCCCAAAATATTGTTCTGATATTAGTGATTGAAGTCACTGGCAGTATTTTTTGAAAAAAAAAATGTTTGTCATTTTATAAAGTAATATTTTGTGACTTGTGCATGAGCTTAGGTAAACTTATCCGGTCACTATTATGATGCCACTAATCCCTATACAACGTGATCGATACTATGAATTACACACACTAATGTTCATTTACTTTCAACATATTCACAAGACCTGGCCATATAAACTGAAATATAAAATATACGGTTTTTAAGAGAAAGGGCTTAAGTCAACAATTGATACTTTTCAGAAGAAACAAAAAACATTATAACTTTTTAAATTTTTAATGTTTTTAAATTTTTTATTCATAATCATGTTTAATATATTGGTGTATATTTTCTTCAAATTATAATAACTTATGACCTATTGCGTATATACCTGTTTGACTTGAGCCCTTTCGCATCATGACTTAAGACCTATTGCATGTAATTTTATAGGGGTTTTGCCCTTTGTCATTAAAATAAGTTATAATAAGTGAATTAGGCCTTTTCTCATAAAAAAAAAATTCTGTAAAATGACTTATTACCATACGCATTCTATTTTATCTCGTAAACCAAATCCCACATGGCATCTAGAGTAGTACCATTCAACGAGGCTTGAAATGTCACACAGAATTATTGTATAAACTGAAAATGTCCAAAAATGACTTAAGCCCTTTCTCTTAAAAATCGACCAAATATGCCTAGCTTTTACTAAGAATGGATTACGCTTAATAATATTACATTTTTATTATTTATTAGATAATATTTTAATTTATAATTTCACAATAATAATATTAATAAATATAATATATAAATAAATATTATATTAATATAATAGCCGAATTTCCTGGTATCCCGGTCGTCCAGTCCGCCACTGAACACATTTTTTCTCCCTGCATACTCAATATATATAATATAGCTAGCTTTATAAGACCAGAAATGTATTTTATGGGTACATTTCTTCACAATGTTTGTGTTATAATTTTATCAATTTTAATATTGTGGACC